GGGGGAGTATGGATCTTTTCTGGAAAGTCCCATTATGAAATGTTATTTTGTACCATTCATGAGTACATTGTAGGGCATGCAGATATAGCCAATATGTGTTTCATTTACCATCTCGATCAATTTACTAACCTTTTGTTGTTGTGGTTTTACCCTTGCCGCCAAGCATTTTGTCTTGTCATAGGTGACAGCGGCAGGACGGCTCAGATACTACAGTGTGCAACAAAACAGTTGTATAAGTAAAAACCTTTGACCTATATTATGCTGCAATGCATTTTCAAGAGAATCCTACAAAATCTGCATACTTTTGATGAACTAATGACTTATTTTGTCTCATATGTGTTGGGCCTTGCAAAAAGAGGTAGAGAATTAAAACTCTGAAAATGCCATTTCAGACAATCTAGAGACTCCAAACTTTCTTCATTTCTGCACAACTGCCAGTGCCATTTATGATGGAAAAGTTCCCCGGGCAAAAATAATACTTTACAGTCTCAGGCAGCTCTTCAAATTTCTTCCCTATACATGTACATAAGTGTTGAGTTTGTCGGTTAATTAACCAAGTCAAATCCGAGCCTGAGTCAAATGTCCAAGTCATAGTTTAATTGATGATCTTTGCAGTTCAATGACTTAGTACCTTAATCCTAACCATAATCCCACTCCTAACTTACCCTAACCCTATTCAACTGTGAATTTTATTCAATTTCGGAGTTTGTCGGTTACTGACCGACTCAAATCCGAGTTCGAGTCAAATGTCCGAGTCACTGTTTAACTGCCTTTGTCGGTAAAATGACTTAGTACCCTAACCCTAAACCTACTCCTAACCCTATTCGACTGTGAATTTTCTTCACTTTCATCTTTTTTTACACGACTTGGGCGTTTGACTTGGGCTCGGGACTGACTCGGACTCAGATTTGACTCGGTAAATGGATTTACTCAATGAGTGTTACTCTTTAGAAACTTGCCTGAAAAAGATGAAGATTTTCCACAAGATTTTTGGCTAAATAAACATCAACCTACAAATAACAAACAACAAAGTATGCGGGTGAAGTTTATGAAATTTAATATGCAAAATGGTGAAAATTATGCAAGGTCTGCAAAAAATTGAAATATATTTGTATATTGGTATGACGACAAAATAGATTACTTTGAGAGCTCAAATAAATAATATATAACTTACTATTTTAAATGACGCAAGTACAAATGTACATTATCTTATTTGAAAAAAATAAATGAATATAAACTGAAATAAGTGAATTTCTATATCAGAATATTATATGAATGACGCATTATAACTCTTTTTGCAAAGTCATTATTTTATCCGAACTCATTCTATTCCAAACGTTGATATAACCTATTTAATTGCTCACTCCCAAGTAGTTCAAAATTTTAAAAAGTGTTGAATAACATTGAATCAAACCTCGCTAACTACAGGATCTTCTTCTTCGTCGTCCGCCATCTTGTCATTAATATTCCAGACACAGCTAACCCAATTTTTGTTTGGTCTTGAAAACCCACCATGGTAATGATACCATGGTGAGAGATATGCAGCATATATGCCGATATGGTCACCAAAGACTCATCATGCTGGCCTCACCATGTACGCCTGCTGCTGCTGTTGGTGAGGGTAAGGTATTATTATTAATGTGCTTGTAAAGTCATGTAAATAGAGTTTTGGTTAAAGTTGTCGCCAATGTTAATACGATGGTTTACACCCAAATATCTCACTCGATTGGCCTCCCTAGCTGAAAACTAACCCGAACTAGCTGTTCTTTGTGATCAGACATGAATTGTAAGATGTTGCAGCCAGGTTACCTGGGGCGGCACTGTGACCTCCTTGAATGGCGGTGGGTGTAAGCGAATTTTGTAAGCGAATTCAGGGGCAGCATTCCCAAAACGGGGGGTCATCTTATTGAGTTTAATTAAACTACCGTTTTTTGTTCCATTTCTCCCTAATGTTTTCATAAATTTCTCAACATTTTAGCTATAATTCTTAACTTTTAATCAGTGTCAATTTTTTTCTTCCTATCTGACCAAATTCATGTTTTGCCGACTACTAAAACAATTTGCCGATTACTAAAACAATTTGCCGAGTGGTATTCAATATTTTGCTGACAACCTAATGACAACCCCCAATACACATACATCCCCCGCAACTTCTGCAATTCCGCCTGTGGGCCCTTTAGCGCCCCTGAAAATTTCAATGCGCGGATTTCATATTTTCCCCGGGTACGACAAAAAATTCCAAAATTGTTAATTTATGACGCAAATAAATTATAGGACAACAATGGCGGGAAGTGAGGAGTGCGTGAACGGGTAAATTCTGTCAGATTTGCTCAAAATACAACCAAGAAAACGAAGTTGTCGTAACGAGAATGAACGGTAAAGTTACTGTCGTAATAGGCGATGATACTGATGATGAAACACTGACTGTTTATGGCGTAAACGAGGAAGGGGTTATTGTTATATTTGACGATGATTGTGCTACTACGGATATACAACATGGCTCTGAGGATCCAAATGTTAGAAAGAACACGCAGTCGGCATGCTCAAAGGACAAAATTCACGTACCATCAACTTCAAATGACAACAAAAGCACAAGTCAGCCATCTTCAGACAGCCTGGTGGACTCTACTGGACAATTACAAGATCCAAACATTGATATAAAGAAATGCCAATCACCTAGCAAGAGTAATCAGACTAACCAATCACCTTGCAAGACAAATCAGACATCACTACCAAACAAGAAAAGATTACTACCGTCCAACACCTTTTCACATTCAAATGCCGCATCAAACGCTAACAACAACAGTAACCCGTCGGCATCATTGTTAAACAACCAGAACAAATCACTATGTTCATCCACAGACAACCAACATAACCCTCCACTACTAGACAATCAAGGGTGTTTTGAATCTACCACAAAACGACATGTTTCTAAAGATTCAAACTTTACAGTGACCATCGAAAACAATTTATCGGATAAGAGGAAGGCAAATTTTCACTCACCCAACATACTAGCAAAGGACAGTTGCAGTTCACAAGCACCAAACAAAGATGGCCACTCTTCACAGGAAAGAGGTCGAACAAAATCCGCTCCCAGTAGTACGAGTGGCAAAGAAAGATGTGATAGCAGTTTGCTAGGAGTTGTTTCAAGCACATTTGACAAACACAAGACAAATTCCAATTCAACAAGTGCCAGTTGTTCCACAGAAGTAAAAAGCGACAATGGCAAATCCCACTCTACACACAAAAGAAGTCAAACTCAATCTGCTCCAACAAGCTCTAGTCAGAAACGAAAACATAAAAACAGTCCTGAAAGAGAAAATCCATGTTCACGTTTATTTGAAGAAAACAAGACAAATTCCCATATATCACATAAAAAACCCCGTATGCAGTCAGCCCCTGCAAGTATGAGCACTCTTCCACAAACATCAGTAGCAAGTAGCTCTAGACAAGTTCTTTCAAACCTCCAAAACCCAAATCTTCCAACAGATTCTTTAGAAAACCTTTCCACGTTTTTGCATGTTATATTTATCGACTTGGACAACTGGGGTAAATTCTTCAGTCTACCTTACTCACTTCCACCGAAGGTATTCGTTTGGGGTTTTTGTGGAGGAAATTATTCGAACAAGCATCAAGGCTCTGTGCATTTCCGTGCCCTTGTACGAGAGAAACGGTTCTTTCAACATCCCATGTGTGGGAAGTCCAAGAACGCAGCAGATTTTGCATTGTGTGTACAAGCTGCAAGGCTGGATCTTCAATTGCCAAAGCATATACCATTCACAGTGTTGTCTGGTGATAAAGGTTTTGGTGAACTAAAAACTCAGTTGAGCTCGTCAGAACGTCAGATCCATTTGGTTGACCCACATCACGAGGAACAGGATATGTTGTATGCAACATTAGCAAGCATTGGGCAAGCATGACATATCAAAAGATAATGTAATTGTGTTGTGGTGGGCTGTGGTTTGGTGTTCATGTGTTATTTTATATTTGATATATATTGTTTTGTGCTGTGATGTACCATACTATACTGTTGTATTATTTTGTATTATACTGCATTTTAGTTTCTTTAGTATGGTCAGTTATTGTATTGTTATTGTATTGTTATTGTATTGTTATTGTATTGTATTGTTATTGTATTATTGTTATTGTGTTGTTATTGTATTGTTATTGTATTGTTATTGTATTATTATTTTATTGTTATTGTATTGTTATTGACTTATTGTATTGCTATTATATTGTTATTGTATTGTTATTGTATTGTATTGTTATTGTATTGTTATTGTATTGTTATTGTATTGTTATTGTATTGTTATTGTATTGTTATTGTATTGTTATTGTATTGTATTGTATTGTTATTGTATTGTTATTGACTTATTGCATTGCTATTATATTGTTATTGTATTGTTATTGTATTATTATTATATTATTATTGTATTGTTATTGTATTATTATTGTATTGTTATTGTATTGTTATTGTATTGTATTGTATTGTATTGTTATCATATTATATTGTTATTGTATTGTTATTGTATTGTCTTGTTTTTGTATTGTTATTGTATTGTTATTTTGTTATTGTTATTTTGTTATTGTTATTTTGTTATTGTTATTTTGTTATTGTTATTTTGTTGTTGTATTGTTATTGGTTTATAAGAATATCCTTCGCTGGACAAATATTCATACTTTATACTGCTCACTCAGGGACATTGGCTAACATTCATTGTATTTTAAATTGTTTATTGGTGAAACTACGCTGTTATGCTACCACGTTGAATTAACAAACATTGCATCACAAAAAAAAATTGAATTAACAAACACTGGATAACAAATGAAACGGAAACGAGCTCAAACCCAGGCCTCAGCCTCAGGACAGTAGAAAACTGTACTTAAAAATGTTGTAATCTGTAAAATGGTGCGTTCATTATATAAAGAAATGTTGCAAAGTAAGCACGTTTTCTGATCAGTTCTAATATCTCATAAGAAATTAAGAACTTATTAAAATGTTTTTTTTATGACAGAGACTGTATAGACATAAAAGTCTCTCTCAAGACAAAAGTCAAAATCGAGTTCTTATTTCCCAAGGCATTAAGTGTTAAGTTTTAGAAAATTACATAAATTTTAGAGACGAATTTTCCAGGAATAAAACGCTTTACTGCACTGTAAAGTATTTCAACATTCGTCATTAACTTTCGGCAAAACCTGAAATCGGCCGGCCGTGTTGTATCGGATATACAAACTCGAGCCGAAGGCGAGAATTTGTATATCCGATACAACACGGACGCAAATGTTGACTTAAAAAACGACTTAAAAAACGACAAATGACTTAAAAAACTACTCATCTTATGAGTTCATTGGCGAAGTAATTTTAAAAATAAACGTCTAAGCCGAGAAAATCAAAGTTAAAGTTTATGTAAATCAACATGAATCTGTATCACAGATACGACACGCTTATGATTTTTCTTTGTGTTTTCTTCATGAATTATTAATGAGTTTTTTAAGTTGGAACTACCTTGCAGCAAGTCTGATAATATCAACAAGGTTGTTACAAGTTGTTTTAACAACCTGTCAAAAAACACCTTGTTCCAAACTTGTTGACAACTTGGGACAAGCAGTGCGAACACATACTTGTTGACATGGGTGGTGTGACACCCCCCCCTGAAAAGATCTTGTCAACAAATTAACGGACTTATCGGCAAATTGTTTTCCATATTGAGCGAAAATATTTGAGTGGCTCTGATTTAAAAATAATAATTATGGCAAAAATTTTGATAAATATGCGAAAATGTTACCGAAAATTTTGACAGATTACGGTACATTACTTGAAAGGTTCATTACATTTACCCACGTGACCACAAAGTAGCCAATCACGTTTAGTTTGAGCACTAGCTGTTCTAAAAGATACCCGCAGACCTCTAAATGCCCGATTTCAACCTCGTCCCCAGGGCCTTTTAAAGAAAGATGCGAACCTTTGCTGCTTCGCCTCCTTCCTCAATAGGCCCTGGGGACGAGGTTGGCCCGATTTTACCTTTGAAAGACAAATGATCGTTCAGTAAGACCAGAGCCCTCAGTAAATAATAAATTGAAATTAAACGTCGTGAAGGCTCTGGTTCAACGGGAGGATTCTTTAATTAAACCGCGCCAATCACAAAACTGAATTAGTGGTTTTAGTACAGAATCTGTACTAAAATCACTAATTCTGTTTTGTGATTGGCGCGGTTCAATCAAAGAATCCTCCCGTTGAACCAGAGCCTTCACGACGTTTCAATTTATTATTTACTGAAGGCTCTGGAATCCAGGGGCCGGTTGTACGAAGGTCGGATAGCGCTACTGGCACCGGATAGTTATTTTTTCAAGCTTTGTTAAATCAGTCGTTGATTGGTATAACTCGTATTAACGTTTAGTATTTATAAATTAAATGTTTTTTATACTTCTTGTGTCGTCTATATCCACAGTTTCACAGTTTTTCAAGCATTTTACAAAGCTTGAAAAAATCACTATCCGGTGGATAGCGCTATCCGACCTTCGTACAACCGACCCCAGGGTAATTAAGTTATTAAGACATAAACAAGGGATAGAGGCGCTAGACTGTAATGAGCGAAACTGTCTGGCCTGGCGCCTCTCCTCCGCAGAGGTTTCAATGAGCTTTACATGGCGCTTTACATGACGCTTACCGTATTGAACCGCTGTGTGGAAGACGCGCAGGCAGAGAAAGCAGGCTCTGTGGAGGAGAGAGGTCTGGCGCCTCTATCTCTCGCTTTGACGAATCGCCTTGTTTATGTCTTGTGCGGAGGAGAGAGGATTCGAACTCAGCGTGCTTGAAAGAGTACGTAGTTCCCGTAAAATATTTCAGTTCCAAGGCATGCTAAATAGTAAATGAAAGTGGACGATATCGGGACGCAGCAAACGTCCAAGTACGTTAATGCGCCCATAAAGGCCCGTTTACACGGGCGATTTTTGCTGCGATTTTAGTTGCGATTTTCTCCTTTTGGAGGATGTGAAGGAGTAGATTACTTAATGATGTTGTTATCAGATTTCATAACCTGGAACATCTATAACTGATCCACTCCTTCACATCCTCCAAAAGAAGGAGAAAATCGCAACTGAAATCGCAGCAAAAATCGCCGAGGCAAGTGTATTTCAAATCTCCATGGCACGGCAACGGCGCATATGTGTACATGAAAAGTATTAGATTATTGCTCAGTGCAAAGTCGCGTTTGCCGGTACAGAATTTTAGATAGTGTCCCGCAGCTTTGTGCGACAAACAGTAACTCGCTAGAATTAACTGGGCCGAATGAAGCGCCGACTTAGGATCACCAGTATGAAAGCTTGATTGAGGGGCTGCTCTGACAGGTTGTATGTCGTGGGACCTGATAGCCGTTGCGTTGGGTTGAAAGCGTTTGTTGTATTCATCGAGAGATGCGGAGCAAATCTTGAGACTCCAGTTGTAGCGATCTCTCTCGAAGTGCCATGCGTAGTTGAATATTGTCGTAACGGGGCAAATGAAGCCGTAAGAACTAATGTTCCTGTAGACTTCCTCAAAGTTGCGCGCTTTGTATCTTCGCATTATCAAATCGAGTGCACATGCATATGTTGTTCTGGAACAGTATATATATATATATATATATATATATATATATATATATATATATATATATATATATATATATATATATATATATATATATATATATATATATATATATATATATATATATATATATATATATATGTTTAATAGAGTTGAAGATTTGTAATCCAGGCATTTTATTAATTGAATAATTCTACAAAATATTTTGTTCTCTGGATTGTAATTTAAATGTTTTGAGCTAGTTCGACTCGGTACTTCGAGCTTTCATCAGAAAGTTGGAATGTTTGAATTTTCGCGCTGAATTCTATGGACTTCTAAAAATACATAAAGAGAATAACCCTCTCCGACCAATTGTTTCCCTTCCTGGATCCCCTACATACAACTTATCGAAGTATCTCTCTGACATTGTCAAACCTCTCATTAAGTCATCACCTCATTCTGTCAATAATGCCAAAGCCTTTCTGTCGAAAATAGAACACCTCAGAGTTGAACCTGATGAAATCATGATTTCCTTTGACGTCGTTTCCTTATTCACTTCTATTCCTCTTGACACAGCAAGACAAATAACCAGAAAACTACTTACTAACAATACCTCATGGCAATCACACACATGCACAACTTAATATACAAGACATTCTCGATTTACTTGACCAATATCTTTCAACTGAATTCTGCTTTCAAAACAATTACTACAGACAAATCTCCGGCACTCCAATGGGGTCACCTCTTTCCAGTTTCCTTGCTGAAGCAGTGATGCAAGACCTGGAAAATAAAGAACACGACAATAAACTCGCATTTTTAGACGTACTAATAACAAGAACTGACAACGGCACCTTAAACACACAAGTATATCGCAAGAAAACGCACACAGACCATGAAATATTAAATTACAATAGCAACCATCCCACACAGCACAAAATCAGTTGCATAAAAACACTTTTCAACAGAATTGACACACACTGTAGGCTGTAGCACTGAGGAATCTAAACGAGACGAACGCAAATACTTATACTCTACTTTTCTCAAAAATGGATACCCCTTGGACTTTGTCAACAAAGCACTATCACATAGGAAACAACGGACCAACCAAACCCAACAAGAAAGAGGATCACACTTCCTTATATAAACACCACGTCGGAAATGACAGCTAGACTTCTCAGACCGTTCAACATCGACATTGCTCACAAACCAACATGCAAACGTAGATCCAAGTTCACTAATCATAAAGACAAAACCAACGTAACCGAGAAACATAACGCCATTTACATGTTTACTTGCAAAAACTGCCCCGACAAGTACATTGGACAAACGTCTAAGAAAATTCAGATTAACCGAACATCAAAACGCCATTAACAGACATGACCATAATTCACTCCCAGCCAAGCACGCAGACGATAACGGACACAAATTTGACTGGTCTCAAACGAGATGCCTAGGACAAGCTACTACGAAACATGCCCGTGAGTTTAAAGAAGCGTGGCATAGTATAGATAAACTAACATTTAACCGCCGTATTGACATTCCTGTAATATACTTACAACTACAAAAGTCCTGTTTCGCCTTCGTTAACTTTTAACCCACCCGCAACTTCCTTCCCAGTATCAAATCACGATGATTGCAATCACCCACACTCCATGGCAACC